CACTGCACTACTGGGCCGGCCCAGGTTGGTTTTCTGTTTCTGTTCAATCACGCATTCATTCAACCAATACTTACTATTTACTATGTGCCAGATATTGTCTTCAGTTTTTAAAACTTGTTTGCACATGTCATTGTTATATAGCTGTATTCAAGGCTTAAATATAAGACTACATTTCATTTTTTCAAGTATTTTTCAGGTCTTCACAACTGTCACTTTTGGTGGCTGCCTAATGTTCCATTTAAGAATATCTGCTATACTGTAGCATTCATTAAACTATTCTTGGGCATTTAAATAATGCACAGGCATTGGAAATAATGCTGTAGTGAACATCTTTATACATAAAACTCTTCCTTTGGATTATTCCTTTATATTAAATTCCTTCAATAAGTCAGGGGGCTTATTTTTTTTTCCTTTTTGTACAACTATTGCATTCCAAAGAACCTTAAGAATTCACACTTCCACCTGAAATGTAAGGGTATATCAACTTCACCAAAACTTTGCAAACGCTTGAATATTGTCACTTTAAAAATGGTTGTTAGTAGATATAAAACAGTCCCTTTTCTTCAGCTCTGTATTTCTCTAATAATTTATCAAGTTAAACATTCTTCTCCTACTTTTTAAAACATGCTTACTATTAAATTATCTACAATAGGGGTGTGAAAGAGCATCGACACCAGCGGTAAGCGAGGACCAGAGTTAGGTGCTGCATTAGGCATGTGTGCAAACATTTATGTGAAGGTTATGATGGGGACCATACTGGGGAGAGTGTGAGTTGGAAAGACTGTCCAACCGTGGGTTCATATCTTTCTTCTTCTACTTACCAGCTGGGAAAACCTGGACCTTAAGTTCATTTTCTACAAGACTGTGAAAGCAATATGAAACATCTAAGGTTGTAGTGAAGATTCAATCATTCTAGGGTAGAGATTTGTATCCTTAGCAGGTAGCACAGTGCCTAGCATGCGGTAGGTGCCCAATAAATCTGACCTCAGTCAAGTTCTGATAACACAGGGAGGGCTCAATAAATAGTAAATCTTAAGACATTTTTCCTAATCTCCTGGAACAAATAAGCTAGATGGGACAAAAAGACAACGATAAAATCATAACAAGTTCTTTACGCAGATATTTGTACAAGAGGCTTTCCGTATAGAAACAGTATAAACTAGGAGAGTGCAAAGCACTCAACAGTAGAGGTGGGACAAGAATAATCGCTTTCACTTAGTTCATCCGAAAAGGCAGGCATGTCTAGAACAGACACACCCATAAGGACCGATAGTAGATCAGTGATTGCCAGGGGAATTGGAAGTCACTGCTAATGAGTAGAGGGTTTCTTTCTGGGGTGATCAAAATCTTCTAAAATAGGAGAGTGGTGATGGTCACACAACTTTGTAAATATACTAAAACCCACTAAATTATACATTTTAAAAGAATGAATTTTATGGTATGTGAATTACATCTAAACAAAAAAATAAGTATGTTATTTCCTGTGGTTCATAATTCAGAATCCATGCCAATTAAGCAATTTCTGACGCAAAATTAAATAAGGAATTCATTCAAAGGCTCTAATAGTCCATTTTTGCATAGTGAGTCCCAAATTCAGAAATTAGGGGATTGGCTGAATAAACTTTCGTAGCAGTGGCCACTATCATCAGGAAGAAAGTGTGAACATCTCTTGCTATTCTTTCCTACCCCAAATTAGCTATTGATTAGTTTCCCTGAGCTTAAAGAGTGTAAAGATTACTGTTTTCAGTTGTCCTGGGTCTGTTTAACGCTACAGTGTCTTAGAAACTGTTGAGAGCATATTCATAGCTAAAGAGCAACAGATCACACCACCTTGATATTACTCACATGAAGGCTGTTAATTCCCCAGGTAAAGACAGTAGAGACGCCTTTTAGGATCCCTTAATAACCATTCGAAAGGAAAAGAAAGCAATTGAAAGTTGGAACACCACCCGTTTGTGATTGTTTCTACTTTATAATTACTTTTGTTTTTTATGATGCTGCCCTTTGAAATATCTTAGGTTATCTTCCTCTTGTCCCTTTAAATGTCTGAACTAATCATTTGTTACAGAATTTAGTTATTTCAGCATGAAATGAGCAGATATAGTGGATATCTGTGATACTGTGCTTAATAAGAGTACACATTTGGTCTTCCTCCCCATTTCTGGCATAGAACTCCAAAAACCCTTGGAATTTCCTAAGTGATAACAGCGATAAAGCTGTCTTTTTTTATGTTAATGAGGTGACTTTTGGATTGCACCTAAGGATGGGGGCTGGTACCCAGTGGAGCCAATCCTGTGAAGAGAGGGTTGGAATTTTTATTAGTCCCACCCACCCCCCTCCCCACTCCGGGGAGGGTACAGGAGTTGGAGACTGAGTTCAATCAATTATCAATCATGCCTATATGTTAATCAATCATGCCTATATAACGAAGCCTTCAAAAAACCCAAAAGGACTGGGTTCAGAGAACTCCCAGGTTGGTGAATACGTGGAGATTTGCGGACAGTGATGTGCTCTGAGAGGGTGTGGAAGCTCTGAGCCCTTTCCCCACACCTTGCCCTATATGTCTCCCATCAAGCTGCTCCTGAGTTACATCCATTTATAATAAACCAGTAATCCAGTAAGTAAAATGTTTGGGTTCTGTGAGTCACTCTAGCAAATTAACTGGACCCAAGGAGGGGTCGTGGGAACCTCTGTTTTATAGCCAGTCTGTCAGAAGCAAAGGTAACAACCTGGACTTGCTAACTGCGCCATGTGGGACTGAGCCCTTAACCTGTGGAATCTGATGCTATTTCCAGGTAGAGAGCAACAGAAATTTACAGCGCTGAATTGTAGGACGCCCAGCTCGTGTAGGAGCAATGCTTGGTGTGGGGAAAAACCCACACTTTAGAATCATATGCAGAACCCTTAAACGGTCATATACCCAAGCAACCACATGTAGTCTAATCTTATACATAACTTGTATTAACCTGTGTCAAATATAAGTTTTCTGCTAAAAATTCAAAGGCGATACATGTTAATAATCCCTATTCCAAATTTGTAATAGATTATGTGAGCAGTCACGTGCAGAATATAAATGTGTGACTATACACACAGTAACATATATTACACGCTGTATCAAACATCAGATCGCAATGTGCTAAGAATCAACTTATCCTAAAATTGTTTAGGAGTAAGTGAAAAAGGCCCCTTGCTGTGTGGTTTCTTTTGCCACACACTCTCCAACTGGTACCTGCTGGGTTGCATTCTGAATACCTGGCCAGACACTCTCAGAGCTATCAATCAAGCATGGAGGAATCTGAGTCTGGCTTGGGTTTCCTGCTTGAGCCAACAGGAAGTAAAAATTAGTCCTCTGCTATTTTGTCCTATTTATAAGTTAAAAAAAAAAATCTTACACGTGTAGGAAGCAAACAATAGCTTCTGCTAAAACAATTGATGAAATCTATGTGATAATTAATGACTTAAAATGTCAAATAGGCACCCTGGATTTTTCCCCAATAAGGAACTCAAAGAGTAATTTAATTTTAAAGTGCATGTGTCAGAGGGGGATAAACATAACAAATACTTTTTGTACTCAGTTGAATCTGAGAGTTAGTGGAGGGTCCAAAGTGGGGGAGAAAAAATATCCACATTGCCCTGTTTCCATTTTATGGTAGGCCATAAGAGATTACAGTGAGAGTTCCTTTTACTGGAAGTTTCTTTCAACTCTTGCTGCTTAATAAAAAAAAGCTTACCCTTACGGAGCCAAGATTTGGGGAAGAAGGTTAGTCTGCTTGCATCAACCTCCCCCTCCCTATTTTATTCTCATTTTTGCATCTTTGTACACTTCCAAGCTCTGCTCCTCATTGCCCAAATATGGGAAGAATGAAATGGGCTTAGGAAGATCAGAATACTCTGGAAGCCAGGTGAGGATGTAAGGCATCGGTTTCAGGAATGAACCAATGAGGTTCTTAGAGGGAGGTTACCCCAAGTCTGAGCTATCCCAGAACAGTCACTTCTCCTGGGAAACTCTGGCTCTCCAATGGATAGAGACTGTCCCTGTCTTTCCCCTCCCGTTCTCGCTCTTCCATCTCCTCTTCCACAGCTCAAAAGAAGCAGCTGATGAAAGAATCAGAGGAAGGGAAAGTCTTCAGACTAAGAAAACCCTTCCAGTTTTCCTTCTGATGTGTCTGAGTTTATGTAGTGGAAGAGAAAGAGAAACAAAACAAAACAAAACAAAAAAACTGTTCTATGGAATCAAGGAGCCCGGGATTTTAAAACTGGTTCAATTCATTCACCCCTGAATAAATTACTTAACCCCTCTGGGCCTCAGGTTCCTGCTCTATTAAATCGGCATAAAATATTTACCCTTGCTGGTTTACTGTGAGGAAATATCTGACCCAATGATAAGTGCTTAATAAATGCTGTTGGCCTTCCTGTGTGCGCTGGGAGGTAGAGGGTGGGGGAGGGAGAGATGAATGCCTCTAGCCTCTCCACCAGTAGAGTGCCAAATGAGCATACTGGGGGACCCCAAAAGCAGGCATGGTCAATTAGGCACACTTTTTGAAAGGGGATTACAAGATCTCCATTAAAAACGTCAGGTGACACCAGCTTGTCTGAGGGGTTCCTTTAAATCAGACATCATAGAAATACTAGAGGATTTTTTAAAGATAGACCAAATTCACACTGTGGAACAAACTGTATACAATTTTGAAATAAACTTAGATATACTTGTTACATATATATATAATACATACTTTTTAATTATGTCAGCCTTTACTGATACAAAGATGGAGACAATGAGATGAAAAACTACATAACAAATAGATGAAAGTAGAACAAAATATAAATTGAGGTAGAACAGCATTCCTAGCCACATTTCAGCACCTTTAATTTAGAGAACTATGAAATTTCAAGTCTGAAGGCCCATTAACGATCACGCAATCCAGCCAAACATCTGAAGCATGTTATAATTGTAGATACATGTGAGAGTTAGAGTCGCTTCTGTGTTCTCATTCCTCAGATCACTTTTTAAAAGTATTTTATTCAATTTTTTGAGCATATTTCCACACATATATTTACATAAATAGCATTTTGTACACGGCTTTTCAGTTCCCCTTTTCTCCTACATTTTGTCTGGCCTGGCCCAGCCCTCCTCTTCTGGCACCTCAGCACTGCCCAGCCGAGTCACCCATGTGAGCAACTTCACAGACATCCTTTTACATGTTTCTCTAGGCTTAAACAGTCCTATACAGACACACATAGATATACAGGGCTTTTTTCTCTTTTCATTATTTGTTTTACAGAAACAGGATCATCTTTTACACCATATCCAAGGATGCCCAGGTCTATACAGATTCAGCCCAATCTTTATTCACCATCCACATCTAAAACTAACAGTTTTACAATGTTTGGCATACTACCAGAAAAGTAAACCAAATCACTTTAGAAATATTTTCAAGAGCAAAGTCAAAATAAGTGGATTTTACACGTCTTTCATTCAGCTTAGTGATTTGCACATAGCACTTGGTCAGTAAAATCTTGCTGTTGAAAGCATCTCTAGTTTTTACTCAGCTTTTTTTTTCTTCTTTGTGCCTGTCCACAAGGGTGAGTTTTCAGAGGATTCCAGGCAAAAGTTCTGGCCAGGACTGAGGGTGCTCTGGGGAGTAAAGGCACGCAGACGCTGAAGGCCGAAGGAGAGAGTAGAGACAGAGTGTGATGGGTCACTGCAAATAGATGCTTGAGTCACCAAGAAAAATGTCCCAGAGGTTCCACCGCACACCAGCACACTGATTACCACTCATGAATGTCTCAGCCACCAAGCTTCTTATTTAGTGTCTTCTTTGGCTTTTTGTCACTGGGAACGCCCTCATCAAAGTAATGAGCCCTCAAGTCTCCCACCCCACCTCTTAGGGCTTCTTCTTAGGGCCTCCTTTCCTCTCTCGGGTTCCCAGGGCCCCAAAGGCTACATCCTCATTCCCCATTAAAACAGCTTCAAAGAAAGAACCAGAGGAACACATTCATGCTAAGATCATATTATAAATGAATAATAAGAGAGCTTAAACATTGTACCTACCAGTATTGTTTGCATTTTTATAGAAACCAAAACATTATTTTTTTTTTAATTCCAACAATAGGATTGCTGTCAAGGATAATAGAAACATAGGAAGAGAGTCTTCAGAGCCTTTTCAGAACTCCTGAATGCACTCATAAGCCTCCATCAAAATGGCCCTGAGAACCCAGGACAAAGAGCACAGGGCTGGGAGTGAGGAGAATCTGTGGGTGTGGTTCCAGCTCAGCCACGTACCAGACATAGGAACTCAACAAGTCACTCCGCTTGTCTGGGTACCAGTTTCCTCATTTGTAAAATAAAGGTCTTGAACTAAAGGACTTTAAGATTGCCTCCAGCTCCAGCTTGCTGGGATCCTAGGATTACAGCTGCCCTTCTGAGTGGATGGCATTGTCATCTGGACTGCAAAGAGGTTGCACACTCGCCACAGTACCATAAAGAATTCCTTGGCAAGTCCAGGATGGAAAGCCTCTCCTCTGCACTAATCACATCCCACCCTGCACCCCTCCCATCCTTAAGGTAGAGGGCATGGCTCAAGGAAAACTTTACCTCCAGTTCCAAAGAGATGTTGAGCCGTTCCTTGACTTCTGATAAAATTATTCCATTTGTTTGCAGTTTTTCTATCTACAAAATTAAACTCTACACTAATGACAGGGTGATTTTTTTTGAGATGTAAAGCTCATTAGGGGCTGACCCAGTGGTGTAGTTGTTGAGTTCACATGCCCTGCTTCTGTGGCCGAGGTTCGCAGGTTCAGATCCTGGGCATGGACCTATACACCACTCATCAAGCCATGCTGTGGCAGCATCCCAGATAGAAGAACTAGAATGACTTACTACTAGGATATACATCTATGTGCTCTGGCTTTGGGGAGAATGAAAAACCCAATTATGCCAGCTCCTGCTCAATTGTCTACAACAGTTTCTCATTGCTACTGTAGAAAATGCTGTTGGTTACCAACTCAGCAACCATTTGTCCCCTTTCTCCCACTTCTATCAGAAGCCTAATTTTGTTCCAGTATCCTCTACCTGGCCATGTACTTCAGAAGAAGTGGGGCTGTCCCCTCCAGGGGGGTCAAGATTGGGCTGAGCCAGTCATGGTGGTTGCATTCCCTTGGCCAGAGAAAGGTTTAGGATTGGGCATATGATGCAGTTTTGGTCACTGAGGCATGAGGATCAGTCTAATGGGGGGCTTCTTAAGAAAATTTTTTCTCACTGATTAAAAAGACACACATCAGGACAGAAAACAAAGAAACAAACCTCTCTTCCTCTTCAATCATCAAGTCTGAGGATAAACCGTCATACCAAGGATGACAGAGCAGAAAAGTGGAAAGAGCCCAGGTCCTTAATGACAGAGTTGAGCCACTGAATTCAGCCATCTTGGAATTTCCCTGCCTTTGAACACATTATACATGTTAATAAATTTTCTTCATGTTTAAGCCAGTAATATTGGGGATTTCTGTTCCTTGCAGCTGAACACATCCTAACACATCTACAGTGTAAAACTAACATGCATCTTTTGGCACACAAGGTCCTTCATGTTCCAACTGCCTTAGCTCCACCACCACACACAAGGCTCTAGCCACCCTAGCCTTTGCCTAGAATACCCGCACCAAATTATTCACCCTGGTAAACACCACCACTCATCCTTCAAGTTCCAACAAAAGTAGCTCCTCCTTTTTAAAACTTTGCCCAGTCTTCTCAAGCAGACTCTGCTGTCTTAATTTCCCACAGCATTTCTTACATGCCTGCATTATGTTGTAACCATTTGCATGCCCATCAACCTCACTAGACTGTGAACTTATTGAGGGCAGGGACCTCAAGGGCCTGTTTCTCTTGTATTACCAGCCCCTGAGCATATGCCTGATTCATGGGCACGCAATCAATATCCGCTGAGTGACTGTAACACCTGACTTTATCTATCACTTTAGGAATACTGCTCACCCCTTAAAAAAGTTTAACTCTTTTTTCATCTCAGTGTGGTCCTCGTCCAGTGGGCTATGACTCAAATTCATGGAGTCTGAGTAATTGAAGAGTCTGAGACAGCATAACCACCAGTTTCTAAGATCTTCACAAACTTTGAGAAGTGGCTTTGGAGTTATGTTTCACAGTCTGACCATCAATCATGCTCTCTTCACTAAAAGAAATGCACAATGAAGGGAAATGTGCCCCACTCCATTCGGGCAGTGTAAGAATCCTGCCCCGCAGCTCAGCTCCAAGATGAAGAAATGCTAAGGCATATCGGGGCCACCCGGGTGATCCAAATTGAGGCCATCAATGCAGGCTGAGTTTTCAGAGTGACCAGAACCCTCAAAAAGGATATGCAAAACAAGGAGATTTCAGGCCACAAGTGCAAAATCTAAATCTGTTGAGCTTCAGCTCACCTATGTGTTGCGACACTGCTTAGCCAAGATCAGGCACTATCTTCTTCACCACTCTGCACTCTCCTGCTCCTCTCTGCCCCCTTTACACACACCACACACACACAAACATCCAGAAAATCAGTTCAACTTCTTTTGTGTAAATATATGCAGCTTGTTCTGGTAGCTCTGGGGAGTGACCATTTAAAAGTCCACATCTGCCAAGATGTGGAACAGAAGACATACCCTGTGATGCAAATCGTAAGCCACTGAGAACTGGAACCCAACAATTTCAGCAATTCCCTATTCAGGCCAAAAGCACTCTTTTGGAAATGTAGATCACGTTTAGCGTGACAGGGGCTGAACAATTACACTAGGGTTGAGATGACTCATTTAAATAGCATAATTCAAATATCTTATTCATCTTGCAACATAATCAAACTCCTGAGGGCTTGCTACACTCCTTGCAGGAAAGAAAAAAAAAAGGTGACAAAGGGGAAAAATGTGGAGAAATTACATGGCCTGGTAGGCAGGTACCAGAGGAGGAAAGGAGTCCGGGTGAGCGGGAGGCCGGACTGCCGTAACAATGAGCAGCCCTCATAGGCCTCCACAGAGCAAATAGGGAAATGCCCCTCTGTTCCCAGAGTCATGGGTCCCCACTGACCGTTCACTCTGTCTGCCTGAAAAACACATGAATGCTAGACTGGAGTTATTCCATCAACAAAATGTGAGGAGTACCTACCATGTGCTGGCATTGGGGATGCAGAGAAGACAAAAATTTTCCCCCCAAAGAAACTCTCACAATAGTAAGGAGGACAGACAAAATGGTGTGACCAGTGCTAGAATGGAGAGGCAGAAAAGACACTTCCAAGGAGACACTGAATTCTGAGAGGGCCAATGCACAGCACACATGTCTAAAATGCCTTCAAAGTTCAGCAGAATACCTAAACGTATAAGGAAGGGTATCCTGTTCCTACAGAAGGCTCAGAAACAAGACAACATGTTAAACAGCAGGGAGATGGGAGTAGTCTGGGGTGGGTGGGTTGAAAGCATATGGGGTGGGGGATTGGCTTTTACATCTGTGCCCCTCCAGGAGCTGCCTCCCCAGCCTTACTTCCTCCTACTGTTTGCTCTTGACTTATACTTTGGGCAAACCCCTAAACACGGCTCCCCTGACTTTCCCGGCTTCCTTCCCTAAACATGTACTCTGGCCTCTACCTTGAGTTTCCCACACCCTGTCTCCCTTCTCTACCTGGACCCGTCATCTCCCTGGGAAACCTCCCTGCATGCCTGGGCACAGAGATGCTTGCTTCTCTGTGCCTCCCATGTGGCCACTTGGTAGGATGGACTGTGTCTCTACTTCAAAAAGGCATAGACACGATCCCTGACTTCAGGGAGCTTGGGAGCCCGAACCCCAAAACACAAAGCAAGATATGCAAGCCATGAATGTGGTCCCCGTGCCCAGATGATCACTGCCAACTGAGCTGCCTTGTTATGACAAAGTGTCCAGGGACTGAACGCCACAAGCCTTAAGAGAGTTCCACTCTGGCCATGTCCCTCACTCATGTCTTCCAATTCCAGTGTCCCTTGCTGCATTGTCTCAGTCCATGCCCCCAATTTTGTTTCATCTCTTTAATCTTCCATTTTGATGATTGCTCCATTCTTTTTCTGCACCACGCCCAATTGTCTTGGGAAACAACACAACGATGAGGGACAGCATAGGCTTTGACTTCATGCAGAAGTAGGCTTGAATCCCCACTGTAGCAATCCAATGACTTGCTGTGAGGATTTAAGGAGATGATGACATTGCACTATTCCAAGACACAGTAAGCACTCAATAAGCCACCACTCTTGTTTATCTTGATTATCCTTGGGGTCATCCATCTCTGCACCCATCTCCAGCTTCATATCTACTCTCTTGATTTCCATCCATCCTCTCTTCCCTTTTTTTCCCCACCCTGTCTCTTATCCCTCAGGAAGAGCAACAGATCCTATACAACTCTGGGACATAATAAGCTTCATGAAGGAAGTGGCATTTGTGATGGACCTGAAAGACAGGTAGTATTTGGACCTATAGATCTGGCAAGAAGAGGGTATGCCAACAAGTGGGAAAGGTGAATAAAGATGGAGACAGGAGAGCATATATCTTATTCATGCAGGGGACTGTAGGGGTTCCATGTGGCTGGATTGTGGGGTCCACGCCAGATGTTAGAGATCAGGATGGACACAGCCTTGGGCCATCATCTGTAGTTTTTGGGAAACCACAAGCATAGATTTGGGGGCTGGGGGACCTGGGGGTAGGTTGTAGGGTGACTGTATGCAGGATGCATTGAAAAGGGAAGAGACTAGAGGCAGGAGTCACTCCTCAGGGGTGACCCTCTTGTCATACAAAGCATACTCATCACAAATTCAGAAGACCTGCGCCCCAAGATCTGCAACCAAAGAGGCAAGTGACCTTGAGACTTCAGCTCACTCATCTGCAAAATGAGAGGCTTGACTTTCATGTGGACTCACCCAAGTTCAAATACCAGTGGGACCACTTATCAGAACAACAAGACCTAAGGTAAGACACTAAATTTGGGGGCGTCTTCATTTTCCTCATCTGTAAAATAACAACAAGAGCAAAATACTTCCTTTGCAGGGCTGCTGTGAAGACACAGTGCTGACAACCACACCTGGCACACAGTAGGAATTTTAAAAGGAAGAGAAAAAGCAAAATGGTGGTCATCGAAAGTCCTTCCAGCTGGAAAAAAAAAAAAAGATTCACAGTCCTTCCTATTGCAAAAACCATTCAGCAAAAAATTTCTGGAACCCAGTCTGGGCTCGTCTGGGATACAACATGAAAATTTCTTTCTGATCCATTTTTCAAAAATGTTGATTTGAGTACATAATGATCCTCTCCAGATACACATTGTCTTCAGAAAATGTAAATGTATTATTGGAAAGATAGAAAAGCCATTGTAAAAGTCCTAAAAGCAATAAAACTCAAGGAAGGCTTTGACTTCTAACTCAGACTTGGCCTGCATTTCAAAAAGGAAGGGTTATCAAATGGGTATGCAGGCTTACCACCTGTTCCTCGTGCGGCTCATGGAGACCCTGGAAAGCAAAGAAATCGCAGAACTATAACCACATGTTTACCCAAGTCAACCCAACCGCAGATGTCCCCATACTTTGCCTGTGACAGATCAATCTGTACCCCTTCCAGAACCTGGTGACCAAAAAGTTCATGACCTGTTTCAAGACTCTGACTAATGAGGCCCTGATTGGGTCCTAAAAGAAATCCCTGAAGTTTCTGTTTCTATTCCACCCTTCCACCATCCCTTCCACTTACCTGCCATTAGGAGAACACACTGCATCACACATGAGTTTCTGCATGTCTGTCTATCCCAGAGACTGAACATGAGGACATTCTCCTGCCTTTCTCTCCCCTGTGCCTCTTGTATGACAGTCACCACACCTACTCTGTATTCGACCCATGAAGTGCAGGGCGACCTGACACCTACTACCTCCCAAAGGACTGAAATAAAAATACCTGGAATAAATGGATGAATAAACCTTCACATCCCATCCTCACTCAATTCTGACTGTCTGGCCACTGTGCCTTTCTTAGCTCTTACATACTCAGTGTGGATTAGAGGAAGTACCACCTCTTTTCACTCGGAAGCAGTCTGCTGCACTGAGTAGCTTCTGTCTGGGCTCTGTCCTCTGGATCTCCTGTCTGCTTGTCTACTCAGAAAGCTCCCCACTTCCCACATCTCCCTCTTCCCGCCCTCCCTCCCCACAGATGCATCTCTGAGGTGGCCAGGGCAGGCCCAGGTCAGAGAGTCTCACCCACCTATTTATCACAATCATCCCCAGAGGTTAAAAATAACAGATGGGTATGTGCAAACGCAATTTCCTGGAAGAAAACAGATCACAAGGAACTGTCAGAAGTGTTTGCCTTCGGGAAGAAGGATTGAGGGTTAGGTGGAAGGGGTACGCAGACTTTCTTTTCCGTACTGTGAATATTTTACTTGGGGTCTGCATGTCATTTAATCTTTTTTAAAAAATGGAAAAATTCAGATGCTCAAGGTCTGCTCCCAGAGATGATTATTTAATGTAACTAAGAAGGGGCCTCAGCATTGTGTTGTGTAGGTGTAAGTGCACACGTGATTGTGTGTGGGAGTGGGGGGTGGGGACAGGATTCCGTAGCTGAAAAAAAAGATTCCTTTTTCCCAGTATGCTTTGTATAAGTTTCCCCTGCCCTCTCCTCCCCAGAAGCCAGATCAGACTGTGGCTCAGACAGTCACCTTCCAGCAAGGAAAAGCCAGAATGGAGCTTGCTCCCCATTGGTAATGAATGGTGATGAGCAGCCAGGCAGCCCAGGCTCAAGTCCTGGTCCCAACTGTGTGCCTTCGGACACTTCTTTCTGCCTCCGTGTCTTCGTGTGGGGTTGTGTGAAGATGACATGTGTTGCTATGCATAGAGTACTTAGAGCCAGGCCTGACATGGGAAAAGCACAGCGTAATCACTGGCTATTAGCACAAACAGGGAAATCAGGTGAGCCCCTCCTTATCATTAAAGTCAGAGCCAGGTCATCCGTTCTTCTTTTGTGCCCCGGCAGTGCCCAATTCCTGTCCCTAGGGAATCTCGTCAGGATGCCATTATTTGTTTATGGGCCTGTCTGCATTACTGGGCTGTTAGTGCCCTAAGAGAGGCACTGAGCCTCATTTAATATTTTGTTGTCCCTTGAGCATAAAGCAGTGACCTTTGTGTACTTGTAAGGGATGCCAAGGAAGAAGTCCCTTAGTTAAAAGGCCCAGCCTGTCCTGCAGGTAGCGCTGAATGGCAGGAGGGTAAGTTACAGCAGAGTAATAGGGATGGAAATTCCTGGAATCGAGGGCCAGTCTGATTGCAGCAGCCACTGATTTCCCCAGATGGCCACCACCTTGCCTCTGTCTCCCTTTCTCTGGGGTCAGCTGGATCTCAAATGTTCCTTGGAGAATGCGTAAAGGACTAACCTTTAGCTCTTTACTCTCTCTTTTAAAACGCTGAGTAAGGACAAACACACACATACACAGACATGCATGCACACATTTCTATAATTCTCCCCCTCCGGAATTAATCAGTTGCCACTTGTTCCATTTTCTAAGTAGAAAATACAGATAATTCATTTTGTATGGTTCAGCTGGGGCATCTCTTTATTCCAGAAAGCCATCCCTGACCTAGCCATGCTTGAGTCTCCTCCTCTTCCTCCATGGATTCATGGCACTCACCTCCCGTGTAGCATTTCGGTATTTCACCACCTTAGGCTGAAATTGATTCTCACCTCCTAGGCGAAAGCTCCTTGGCAATGAGTCTTTTCTTCCCCTGTGTTGCACACTCCCAGATTTCAGGGCATGTCTTGGCACACAGCTGGAGTGCAATAAATGTCTGTTGAGTCAAATTCCATTCCCGTCTGCCAGCAGCTGATATTCTCTGAGACCCCTACAGAAAGCAAATGAGGTGTTAACTTGGGGCACAGCCTCCGCATCAATGGGGGTGGGGTGGGGTGAAGGTGGAAGGCAGGCTTATCCCTAAACGAAGCTTTTTTAGTAAAGAGTCTGCAGATACTTGAAAGAGAGGAATACGTTGTGTCCTGGTTCTAAAGTCCCACATAATTCACTTCATGGGCAGCGCGGCCCTCTGTTCTTTATTAAAACCGCGTAGGAACAACTTTGCCACGCTTTTGCTACTATTAATAATGTGTGGACCTCATCACATTACAAACTATGTTATGAAAATTGCGTGCCAACACAGGGGAGACTGATAGGACAAAGCTCCCCCCCCGCCACCTGCGGATAAGGGAGCAGACTTCTCTGGTACCTAAACCAGCTCCCTTCTGGGCATGTGGATACACTGCAACCTCTTCAGCCCCAGCCAGTCAACGAAATGGGTGAGCACTTTCTGCCAGGTCTGCCCAGCCTTCCTAAAGAATGGCCTTCGGTCTGCACCATGGCCAGCAGTCTGAACTGAGAACAACCAGCAGGCCTTTCAAAAGACAGGGACACACTCCAATCCACACAGTTTTCAGTTTTTATAAGGACATCTTCCCATAGTTTCCCTTTCAGTCTTCCAAACCACACTTGTAAATAGGGCATCTCCTCACTCATGCGATCTTATCCTCATTCTGTGTGAACTATGAATTCTTCTAAACAAAGAATGGGCAGGAGGCGGGGGAGGTGGTAAGCTTCTCACTAGATACGCCTCTCTTGCCCCTCGGGGCTGCGCAGGGGCTCCCCACGAGGATTCGAGCTCCCCTCTTCTGATTGCCACACTCCGTGAGTGTCCACAGGGAGCGTGGCATTGGTGAGAAGGAGGTTTCCACATACAGCTCCTTAAACACAGCTTAGCTTGTGCACATCGTCCGTTAGGAACTGGAGCGTCCGAGTCCAGCAATCCATGGAAGGACCCTGAGGGAACACCTCCTCCAGGCTTTCTTTTGCCTAAAAACCCAATGAGGGCTGAAACCAATCAAAATCTGGTTTAACTTTCTAAAATAGCCTCTTATTCTTTCTGGGAAAACCCTGCCCAATGACCCAAACTGATTTTCCTCATTTCAAATGCAAATCGCACCCACACAGAGGCTGTGGAGAATTTTTGTGAGGTCAACGGTGGCGTCGCGAATGTCCAAGTTCAGCACCACTTTTTAACTTTCCATCACCAGGCCTTATCTTTCCAGAAAACAGATGAAAAGGTCTGAGGGAGGGAGGCGATCACAGAGACAGGAATGGCTTTTATTAAAAGAGTGTTTTCCCAGACCTTAACTAAACCTCATCCACTTTTGTCAGTCAGGGCCGACAGTTGAGAGCAATATTAGAGGAGGTAATTGCACATATCAGTCAACAGCTTTTGTCCCGCGGCCGCTGCGAATTACAGTAAAACGGGCACAGGAAAACAGCGTACTGGATTAAAGGCAAAAAAGATCTTTCTCCAGTTTCTCCCTACTCACCAGCTGTTATGTTCGGCTGTAGAGACAGAAGCAGTGGTAATATCTGGGGGAAATCTAGCCTACCACAGTCTGGGTTTTTTTTTTCTCTCCTTCTGTTTTCCCTCTGCCTTGAAAATGATTAATCTTTGACTTTAAAGAGAAACTTTTTCAAAAAGCATTCTACCTCGCCATAGCAACTAAGCTATTAACCATATTTGAATTTTTCTCCCATTAAAGTATGTGAACACATGTAAACTCAAACCTTGTACCATTTCTTAGACCAACTGTAAAACAACCACCTTTGATGTCACCTGGTAACAGGTTCCAGTAGTTGCTTAAGTAAACAGTTGGCAAGACACAGGTACATTTTATGTACATTTGATTGTAAATCACAGGAAGCCAAACTCATGCTGATGAAGAGCAAGCGTAGGGCTCTGCAGCTGGAGGAAGAGAAAGAGGAGAAAGAAGACACCAGCCTATCCCTGTGTACCTGGCACAAATCCCCTCAAGATAAGAATAACTGGTACCCGGTCCCTGGTGCTCCAGACTGGCCCCCAATCCCAGTTTTAGAGGAACTCCATTTCTCTCAATCATAAGAAAATAATTAAGACTGTCCAAAAAGCCACCAGAGACTTTGGACATGAAAGAGGGGAAGAGGTACATTCTCAGGGCTAAGTCGAAGGTACCTGGAGGGAGATCTCGTTGACCTGGAAAGAAAAGAGGCCGACCCCAGGGAGACAGCAGAGACCAGAAAACAGTGGCCCGAGTCATTTCTGAGTGAGTTAGTGCAACAAGGCCCAGAGGCCAGTTGGGACATGGATGTGGTGGGCCACAATAAAGCTCTTGTTATTAATGAGTTTTATCCTTAAATACTTGGAATCCTATGGCACCTCAGGGTAGCCAAGGTCAACTTCATGTATAACAGCAGACAGTTATTATTTCCATTTTAGAGACCAAGAAACCCAGGTTTAGAGAGGTAAGGCAAGATAGGCAAGTTAATACAGCTAGTGAGTAACATGGGCAGGATCCCAACTTGTCTGTTTCCTCCATAGCCTTGCTCATGCCACCACCACCATCTCACCCGGGGCAGGTGCATGTCCAGCAGTGCTTGATCGTGGACACCAGGGACATAGGGAGCTAGAGTATCTTCCTGTGGCATCAAATTCTTCAAATATTGGTGAGTGTCAAAGGGACAGGAGTAGGATGATAAGTAATTACATTGATCAGTATTTCATAACTCACTTTTTCACATTAAATTCAATGGCTATATTAGAGAGCAGGATGCAGTAGTTATATTCTTTAAAACATTGACTAGGTAATGAATTAATATTATTCAAAATTCGAACATGACAAAATGGTAGGAAGTTTCTCTCTCTCTTCTCCCTCAAACCCCAGTTTCCAATTCCTCTCTCGACAGGCAAATTATTATCTATTTGATGCATATGCATATATACATACAATACTAAGTATGTATCTAATCTTTTCCCTTTTTTAAACGCAAGTAGTAGTTAATGAGACATGCTTTTCTGCACTTTGCTCTTTTTCATTAAACAAATCTCGGAGTTCATATCTGTAAAAAAGTACTCCGTTCTGGTTTACAGCTGTCAGTATTTCATTAAATTCATGCATTGTTATTTATTTAAGCACTCCTATTAGCGGACTTTCAGGATCTTCTGAAAACTGTTACTATAAACAATGCCTCAATGAATAATCTGTTCCATGGATCATCTCACACGTTTGAGAACATATGTGTGGGATGCATTGCTGCAAGTGGAACTGCTAGGGCAAAGGGAATACGCATTTTAAATTTTGATAGATATTAACTAATTTCTCTCTAGAAGTTGTACCATTTGGCAGAGAGCCATTTCTCAGTGTTATCAAACTCTTTTATGCTTGCCAATCTGATAGGGGAGAAATGACATTTCACTGTCATTGTAATTTGCATTTCTCTTCTTATGGGTGGGGCTGAGTAGCTTTTCATGTGCCTAAGAGCCATTTCTTTTTTTCTGCAAACTGTCCATATCCTTTGCCCACTTTTTGGGCTTTGGGCTTTTTTAATTGGCTTGTAGAGTTCTTTATAGAGTATAGAAACTGGCCCTTGGTCTGAGAAATGAGTTGTACAGTTTCTCCAGGCCCAAGAACCTGTCTTCTCTCGTCATTTTCCACTGAGAACCCCAGCCCCACAATAGTGGCACCGGCACCAGCGGCCTGACCAGCCCCATGTTGACCCACTGCACCTGTGCTCTCCTGAAACCTACTTGCAGCCTGCCCATGCTTCCTTCCACAGCCTGAGTTCATCCCCCAGGTCCTGCTCTTCTCCAAAGGATATCTAATGTACCCTGTTCTAGCTATTCCATCTGCAGGTCCCCCGAGGAGGTGAGGAGAGAGGCAGAAGTGGCGCATATTCTCAACACCAAACCCCAGCCCTGGATTCATACACATCACACTATTTCTCATCTGCTAAGTGCTCCCAATATCAAGCAGAGTGCTTGATAATAATAATCACTACCATGTATCAAACACTACTATGTGCCAAGCACCAGGCAAAGCATCTTACATATATTAATTCATTTCATCCTCAACATATTTCATGAAGGCATTATCATCATCAATCCGTTCTACAGATGACAACATAAGGAACAGAAATGTTAAACAATTTGCGAAGGGTCATAAGGCTAGTGTGAAGCCAGCACTGAAAGTCAGGCAGTTCGGACTATCTATCACCCTAACCCCACTCTGATGATGCTGGAAACTTCAGCAGGTATCCCAGCCACCTCTCAGGTCACTTACATCACATGCATGTACACACACATGCACACACTACAATACAGAGAAATTTCACCAATATTTTATGTGATTAAGGAAAACATATTATCCTAGTACCAAAATGATATGAGGTCTTGTGGGACTTATATAAACCATGATATTGTGAATTGAAAATGTTTGGGGGCTTTGTTTGCCTAGTTTTAACTGACAGCCAAATAAGTTGCACATACGTCTGGAGAAATATCCGCCCACTTTCAAAGAATCAAGGAAATAATATCTAGGAAAAGATGGCTAGAGAATTGTGACATGGGCTGGTCCCATAGGCCTCCTTGGAAGCGAAACTCTGTTACTTAAACTTACATCACTGTCATATCCAAGGCAGAAATGCATCGCAACCCTCAGTGCAGACATATGATAAATCTTACTACAATAAGTGATTTAAGGACACCTACTCGTGCCTTATCTCCATGGCCTAGGTCTATAAAAACAAACTTCCCCAATTCAAACCCACATCTCAAAGCCAAATATACTGACCCAGAGACCAGAGTGACTCATCCAGCTGTGTCTCTGCCATGCCAGGTGAGGCAGGGTCGTGTCAACCCTCTATTCCCTTCTCATTCCCTAGGCAATCACAAAGGAGAAAAACATCAGGCTGCGTCTTCATCTTATCAGCATCAGCACAAGCCTAAAGGATGGCTTCCCCGCTGTGCTGTCTATCTTGGACAGCTGTAGCTAAAGGGGTTTGAAAGTC